GTAGCGCCATTTTGGAGAGTATCCACTGAACGTAAACAGCGTATGCTGTTCTGTGTCAGCCGCGTGACATGGATATTCTGTTTCCGTTCAGATCAAATGACAACAACATAGGAAACAGATCCGGTATATTTCCCCAGAAATAATTGCGATAAGCGATATTATTGTCATTTTAAGACCATTTTATGCCACTGAATATATAATCATAATGTAATAATAATAATGCATAATAATGAAAGAAGGCCTACACACTTTGAAATGGCAACAAACTTTTAATTCTTAAGAATACTTAGATCATGGAAATTAAGTATCAAAATATTAGATACCTTAAACTTGAATAAATAGTAAATACATTTTTATGTAAATTTAATAGGCAATATATTGCGTCACCAAAAATGATTGAGGTCATGTACATTTATTTTGCGATAAGTCAATATATTGATTATTATATATAGTCTACCTATAGCAATGCGTTATGACAACGATGTCTCGACTGCAGATAAAAGTAAATGATAAAAGAATGAATTATCGTTACAAACGTGCACATTTAAATACACTGAACACGGAAGCTCAAACGTGTGATGCGCTAGAATAGACCTCAATTTTTTAAACCAATCAGTTGAAAAAATGCTTGATCGTCACCGATCCTTTAGATAGGCTCAGGACATCCCTACAAACTGTATTTTCTGTTGCCCTACACCAACCCTACACCTAAACCTACCGCTTACACAAAACTTCCTGCATTTTTACATTTTCAAAAAACCACCATTTAGTATGTTTTTTAAGCCTTTTGAATTACAGGGGGTACAGACAGTGTCCTCATAAACCACCTTCACATTGAAATACCTCTGTCATACCCATGCAAAAATGACCAAAGAGTTTCTATATTTTTCCTATTTAAAACTGGACTCTTCTGTAGTTACATCGTTTACTAAGACCGACGGAAAATGAAAAGTTGAGATTTTCTAGGCCGATATGGCTAGGAACTATACTCTCATTCCGGCGTAATAATCAAGGAACTTTGCTGCCGTACCATGGGTGCAGCAGGTGCAATGATATTACACAGCGCCTGAAAATATTCCCCAGCTAAGTAACTTCCAACGTGACCGGCAATAAGTTTGTGTAGTTGGTTATGTTGACGGAAGTTAGCCTATTTTCAGGTGCTGCGTAATATCATTGCGCCTGCTGCACCCAAGGTACGGCAGCAAAGGTCCTTGATTGAACATTCATCCAAATTATGGTGAAAACCAAAACATTTGTGTGTTAAAATAACATTTGTGCATTCAAAAAGTGAAGAAATGCTTATACTTTACTGGCCGCAGCGGAGCGAACCAACCCTGTGACGTCACACGCGGTGGTACTACAAGATGGCGGCGCCCGTGCTTCAAAAGCAATAACAGAAAATCTTTTTTTCTTTAAAACGATTTCATTAATCGTGTTTTTTTATATATTTTTTAATTAAAGTGGAAATCAATTTACTAAATAATGTAAGCTTGGCTGACTGCTTCACTTCCACTTTAAAATGACCATTTAGTCAAGTCAAGTCTGCTTTATTGTCAATTCTTCCACATGTACAGCACATACACACAGATAATTGAAATTGCGTTACTCTCAGACCCTTGGTGCATACAGATAACACTAACAGTAGAACATAAATACAGATATACAGATTAAATATAAAATACAACTATACAAATATACAAATAAGGTCAAATGTAAAAAAAATATATATATTTAAAAAAATATATATATATATGTATAAAAACAATATAACTATATACATATAAACACAGGCTTCAGTATATAAAGCTTTTTTAAACTGATGAAGCTTAAGTTCTATTGAGCTCTTTGTAAACCTATATAAATTATTTAAGTTCAGTTGAATCACTTGCATTAATTTAATCAGTAGCTGCCTTCTCAAACTTTCACTGCAGCAGTGTTTATCCCTGCCTTGTAAATGTGTTTCAATCCATGATATTTTTGCATAACGATCTTTTCATCTTGAACAGAGTGAATTGTGCTGATTCTCATGAGAAGTCAATCATCCCGGTGCTTTTCCATGTTCAATGTGATTGGTTGTTTGTCGCACGTGTCACACTTTTAGGTGCACACGCCTCACAAACTCAGGATCAAACCTGAGTTGACGGAGAATGTTTATGCCAAGCGTTGTGCAACAGCTGATCCTGATCTAAACCGGGTTATTTTTGTCTGGTTTTGTCAACTCTAAACCTACTCTGAAACTCAAAGTATGTTCAACTAGTTTCATGCAACAGGCCTCCAGAGTCAAATTTATAGTTCAATCAGCTGACAGAGTTTACTGAGTTAAGACGTATTCTACAGCCTGTTAAGTGCAGAGAACTCTGAGTAAGAGGATCCAGCCTTGAACTAACTTAGGATACAAAAACACTAGTGCTTATAATTATAGGAAATCAGTTGACGTCATTTCGTCAAGTTCTGATATGCTAACAGTACAGATAATTCTGGCAACATCTGAATATATTATTTTTATGCAAATGTCATTATTTAAGCACATAACCATGACCAAGCATAACTGACAATCATGTAACTGTTAAATGAACTTTCAGAAACTGTTGGCACATAAGCTGTTCCAACACTATAAAAATGTTACAAAGTGGGTCAAAAATTATCTCTAGTAATGCATAAAATAAAATTTAATATGGAAATTACTATAACAGCTAACATGATCAAAAATACCCCTAGTTTCTTCATTACCCTGGCTATCTGTCAAAACGATTGAATACGGTAATCCAAGGGCCTCTTTCACTTTCTACACAACTCTGAGAAGCAGACTGTAACCATCTTGCTGGTCTCCAACTTTCCATTCAGTACTTACACTAATGAAGGCATTCCTAAATTTGAATGTGAACATAAATGCAACACATATTGTGTGTTTATGTTCCTGTCAAATTACTGATACCGATACCATAGACATTACCAATATGTAACAGTTAGAACTGTTCAGCTGCCAAAAGCTGTGACATCATAGTGTTTTCATGCAAAGAAGGACACCAGACGAGTTGCATAATTGAGTTCTGTAAACAGTTACTTTAAACGTTTTTACCTACGTTGTTTTAGCAGGAAGTAAAAGTTTTCATTTATCACCTCTAGAATTTTTTCTTAGCTTGTAGAATTGGACACGAAAAGCAGTTCAACTCACTGTTGGATTGGGGAAATATGCCACACTGGCACTGTACTTCAAATACACACTTAGGAGATTCAAAATCTCCTTAGATATTTCACTCATATGTGTCATGAGCTTTCTGTGTATACAGTAGGACTTGACTGTAATACAATGTTAAGTTAAAGGGGTTATATGATGCTGCTAAAAAAGTACATTATTTGTGTATTTGGTGTAATGAAATGTGTTTATGCGGTTTAAGGTTAAAAAAACACATTATTTTCCACATACTGTACATTATTGTTTCTCCTCTATGCCCCGCCTTTCTGAAACACGTCGATTTTTACAAA